CCGTCAGGGCCCGCCCCGACCACGTGGCTCCTATGTCCCTGGGGACTAGGTTGGGGGTGGAGGGCGGACGGGGGCGACGGGCCGCGGGGGGCCGTCAGAGTGCCTAATAATAGATGACACCAGCTGAGCGCTCATCTAGTGCCTGGCGCAGCGCAAAGTGCCAGGCCACGGAGTTGATGCAAATTGGGGGAGGGTCTGAAGGAGTGGAGGGAAATAAGGAAAAGCGGAAGAAGAGGGGGTGTCTGCAGGAGTTAGAGGAGAATGGGGGCATAGGAGAATGGGAAATGTAAGGAGAATGAGGATGTCTCGCGGGTCGAAGAAGCACGGGGGTGATGGGGATAAGGAGATGCTGAAGAGGAGATGCAGCAAGAAGCTGGGATCTGGAGCAGAGGAGCACTCTGGGGGTTCCGGGGCAATGGGACGTCTGTAAGACCAATGAGGGAAGGGGTCCTCAGAGGGGAGGTCCAGAAATAATGGTGAGTTGGGGGCTCCTAGGTCAGTGGACAAGCTGGACTATTAAATACTAGGGATTAAGGTCTGCGGGGATTGTGGGGGCTCTGGGGATTGCCACGAATTAAGGGGAGCTTTGAAGGTAATGGGAGTCCGAAATTAGGAGGGGACTACGGGAGACTCCAGGAAGAGTGAGGGTCGCGGAGGTTGGGGACCGAGTCGGGCCGCGGGTCACTCACCGGCGCCGCCGCAGCCCCCGCCCGCCCGTCGGTCAAGGCTCGGGCTTCTGCGGCCTCTTCCCTCCCCTTGCCGGGATCTCTCCCTCCCTTCTGGGCCCCGCCCCCGGCCGCCCCGGGAGCTAAGGCGCAGGCGCACCTAGCGCCATTCGGTCCCCCAACGCCCTTACCGCTTGGCTCTCACTCCCCCTGCCATGGCGCAAGCGCAGAATTGCCCTCCACGGGCCCCCGTCAGCGGGCCGCAGTTGCGCAGGCGCAAGGTTAGCGCGGCGCTCTTTCCCTAGCCTCCTGGTGCTACAAAAGCGCATGAGCAAAGCTCTGTCGCACGCATGCGCACTCTTGGCTCCCCGCTAGCAGTGGTACCCGGACTCCGTCCCTGCGCAGGCGTAGCAATCTTTGGAGGATGAGGGAGGGACGATAGTGTTGAGAGTGAATGGCTTCCCATCCTTTCGTACAGTCTTCCAGCCTACCTCCAACATTGCCTGTGTCTCTCTGAGAGAAAGTGAAGGGAGACGATGCTGGAGGGAAGCTCTTCGTTTCCATGACGACTACGTGGGTGGGGTAGGGAGCGTAAGAAAACACGGTTGCAGCCTCTTATGCTCGCCCTTGCGCAGGCCTGCTCGGGATCCGCTAACCACCTATTACCTGTAGGGGTGGGACACCCGGAGATATTCCGCCCCAGGTGGGTGCGGTAACCATAGCAACCCATCTACCGTCTAACTCTGGGTGGGGGAAGGGAGAAACCCGTCTTAACACAAGTCACTGCTGGCACGCCGAGAGGGAGATCAGAGGGAGAATTTCTTGGCTGGTAAGGGGTGATCCTGGCATGACTCTAAGCAAATGCATGGAGGCAAGAACACGGGTTGGGTGAGCTGAAAGGCAGGATGATGGAGTTAAGTCTACCTGCAGAAATGTGATGTTTAGCATCCTGCTGGAGTCCTCAGGATCATTCAACAAACAGCGCTTCATTCATCTATTCAACAAATATTTATTGCACGCTTACACAATTCCAGGTGCAGTGAATACAAAAAGCAAAAATCTATACACTCATGGAGATCACTTTTTAGTTGGAGAGTCAGATAATTAGCAAAATAAATAAGATATATAAGTGAAAAGGCAGTAAGTACTATGGAACAAATAGAAGTAGGCAAAGGGGTTGGGAAGTGTTTGTGTGTGTCTGTAATTTTTAAATAAGGTGTTTAGGGGAGGCCTCCCTGAGAAGGTGACATTTGAGTACAGACATGAAGGAGGTGAGGGAGCAAGGGCAGCCAGAGGTAGGTCAGTGCCTGCTGTGGCAGGAGGCCAGTGGGCTGGAGCAGAGGGAGCCAGTGGCCAGCGGGCAGGGTAGGGTTAGGGGACAAATTTGCAGGGCCTGTGGGTCACTGTAAGGATTTTGGCCTTCACATGAGCTGACAGCCATGAACAGAGGAAGAACATGATCTGATTCTGTTGTTAATAGTAGAGGAAACTGACTTTAGGGAGTGAGGGTGACTTTAGGGAGTGGGGCTCCAGCAAGGAGTTGTCAACAGTGGTTCAGGTGAGAGGTGGTGGTGGCTCCAACTAGAGTGGTAGCTGCTGAGATGAGATGAAGTAGAACTGGGTGGAGGAAGTGAGAGAAAGAGAGGTGTTGAGGATGGCTTCAGTGTCTCTGGCCTGAGAAATGGAAGGAGGGAGCTGCCAGAAGCACAGACTGTTAGGGCTGCAAGAGGATCAGGAGTTCAAGTTTGCCCAAGTACAGACATCAAGGATATATGAATCTGAACTTCAGGAGAGAGGTTCAGTCTTGAGATACGAACTTAGGAGTCATGAGTGAATAAAAGACATGTAAGTCCCTAAGATTGGGAGTGGTTGGCAAGGGAGCAAGTGTAGATAGAAAAGAAGTCCATGACGCGAGGCTGGGCACTCTGATATAGAAGTCTGGGATCAGCCAAAGAGAGAGGAGGGGCAGTCAGTGAGTGAAAGGAAAAGCAGGGCCATCTGTTGCCCTGGAGGCCAAGTGAGAAGTGCAGGTCAAGGAGGAGGAAGGGTCCAGGATGCTAGAGAAAAGAGCAATTTTGGGGATGTGGTGGGGGCAGTGTCTTGATTGGGTGGGTTCAAGAGAGGGTTTAGAGAGAGCCAGTGTAGATGATCCTCTCTAGCACAGAAATGGGGTGGTGTCTGGAAGGAGGCACAGGATCTCGATAGGTTTATTTAAGATGGGAGATGTCACTGTATGTTTCTGTACCAATGGGGATGACCCAAGGGAGGGGAGATTGATAGTGCAGAGGAGAGAGAGGAGGCTTGCTGGAGCAATGTCCTTGAGTGGGCATGGTGGGTGGGACTCAGGGCATAAGAACAGGGTGGTCCAAGGGGCGTGGGTTGTTTAGCTGCAGTAAACGGGAAGGGGATATTGTACTTGGAGATAGGCAGATGGTGGAATATGGTGTCAGGAGCTTGGGAATGTCCTCTTCTGGTTCCTTCTGTTGTCTCAGTAGAGTAGGAAGCAGGGTCAAGGGTAAGAAGGGGGTGCTAGGTTAAGGAAGAGAGAGGAGAAAGCATGAAATCAGCCAGGGAAATGTAGACCTACAGAACCAATCACTTGAGGTAACTGGATGCAAAAGCAAAGAGTGACAAGTCCCTGTGATTGTATGTTTTCCTCTGTTCTTATTTTTCTGAGTGGATGCAGGTACAGAGTGGGTGGCAAGCCGACTTTCACCAGGGCTGGGATTAGATGAGGTCCCACCATGTGCCCCATGAAGGGTCAGGGTCCAGGAATCAGAGGCAGCCCATGCAGAGCCTTATGTACAACGTTAATAAGCTTGATTGTGATCCTATGGCCAGTGGGTTCTGAGCAAGGATAGACAGGGTGTGATATGTGCTTTAGAAAGAACCCCCAGCTGTTGTCGTTGTGTGGAGGGTGGGTGGGAGTGGGCAATGCTGTTAGCCAGAGTCACGGGAGAAGTCTGGGGCAGGGGCAAGGAGGGGGTGGTTGAGACTGGACCAGGGCAGGGATGGTGGGAAGGCTGGAAATGAATTGGAAGGGATTTGAGAGCCAGAATGTACACAGTGTGGTGACTGTGATGTTGAGAAGGGAAAAGGAGATGCCTAGGTGACACCAGTTCTCCATCCCAGGTGTGTAAGGTGCTCCACGGGTGCTATGGGTTGAACTGTGTCCCCCCAAGAATATACACTGAGGTCCTACCCCTCAGTACTTCAGAATGTGACCTGGAAACAGGGTCACTGCAGATGTAATTACTTAAGATGAGGTCATCCTGGAGGAGGGTGGACCCTACATCCAACATGACTGCTGTTCTTGTAAGAAGAGGAGAGAAAAATGCAGAGGGAGGAAGACAGCTCTGTGAAGACAGAGACAGAGATGGGCGTGATGCTGCCAAAGAAGTCAGCAGAGCCTGAGGCTCCCAGAAGCTGGAAGAGACAAGGAAGGATCCTCCCCTAGAACCTTTGGAGAGAGTGTGGCACTGCCAACAACTTGATTTCAGATTTCTAGCCTCCATAATTGGGAAAGGATGCATTTCTGTGGTTTTAAGCCACCAGATTCTGGTCCTTTGTTATGGCAGCTTTTGCAAACTGAGATGCTGGGCGCCTGGGGGAGGCATCCAGGATGCTGTTGGCGCCATGGGAGTCTGAGCTGAGGGAGGCTTTGGTTTAACTCAGGTCTGGAGCCCATGAGAAGGCTGGAGACAGGGAGCCCCTGGCAGAAGTGAGCTGGAGAGGGCTCTGCAGGCATGAGTACACTGAGGCAAGATGCAGGAGGGCTGGTCATACTTTTGCACCTTCTCCATCCCCTGCAGGTAGCTCCCAGGATCCCAGTAACATGGGAGCCAAGAAGAGAGAGAGCACGCAGGGCAGACTCCTGAGCTCAGAGCAGGCAGAGACACCCTGCCCACTCTGTGTTCAAGAGCAGAACAA